ATGTGTGTGTGTGTGTGTGTGTGTGTATGTATGTATGTATGTGTATATATATACATACATATATATATATATATACACACACACACACACACACACACATACACACACACACACACACATATATATATATACACACACATACATACATACCTACATACATACATATACATATATATACACAAATTAAATTAAATTTAAGCAAATGCATTACTTCTCCTTCCTTAATATATTATTATTCCATCATATTAGGGATAGGAAAATCTGCCACTTAGCATTTGTAACAGATTTCCAAACTGTTATGGATAACATTCATCAAAAGAGAATTCCAGTGTTTAGAAATTATCTTGTGCAAGATATTTATGTTTTAAGGTTTTAGCACAATGCCTGGGAACCTGGGTCAGTCCCATAACCAGCGGTTTTATCTTCCAGGCTTTTGGAATCATGCTGGAGCCCATCTTCAGGGAGCAAAGTCAGTGGTGGGTTTCATTTTATTTTACTATCGGTTCGCTCATACACGCACACATGCTCGTGTGACACTTCTGCACATGCGCAGAAGCATCCAGTTGGGTGGGTGGAACCTCCCACCACTGCCACTACTGGCTCGCCCAATCTGGGGCAAATTGGCAGAAACCCACCTCTGAGCAGAGTGTGTGCTGTTCTGTGTGGTTCTGTTCAGCCATTAACACGCCCCAATCAACATCCAAAAAGCCACATACAATGGGATGGAAAACCAAGTCACAATATAAAAATGATTTCTTCATAGTAAAATCATGATAACATATGAATAGTCTGTAGTTATATAGTTGTACTAACTATAATTTGATTGGGAGCCTCCCAGAACTGGTTGATAGTTGGGCAGCTATATAAACATTTTAAATAAATACAATAAAATACATAATGGTGCAAAATATACCTTTTTTCTTTACAGTTTTAAGAAACATGCAAATAATAAAGAAGCTTTAGATCAGCATAAATGTTTATTATTATTTTTCTTCAGTAAATCAAGACTCATTTTATTTTCTAATATCGGCATTTTCTATTACTTAATTTGAGAAAGAAAAACTGTTTTAAGCAAAACTGTATTTGTCAAATCAAGTGTTAATCTTTAGGCATTTAGCCTTCCTTCAGAAATAAGGAACCTTGAGCTGTTGACAGGTATTTCAGAGTAACCGAGAAATTAACAATAACAGTGTCCATTTATCAGTCACCTTTGGAAAGGCGTTTTCAATAACACATTGCTTTACTCTTGGACAAAATCCAAGTTGCTTTGTGTTTGATTCATTAAGTGGTGACAGGCTATCTCAAGCCATGTGCTAGTGAATTAGCATCAAGGTTAGTTTGATTCCTGTGTGATGTTTCTTTACAGTTCCATGGATTTATTCAACCAGGTATTCTATGCTTCTGAACTCTGATTTCACAAGATAATTCATCCGGTTTCGAGAACTAATGGGTGCACTGCATTACTTTCCTGGCCTCCTGATAAATAGACATATTAATAAACAATCACAAAAATGTATTTAATTTTATATTTATAAGTTGTCCCACTTGTCAAATCCTACCTTTGCCAGCAAATCATATAGACACATGACTGTCTGCTGATAGAGCACTTCTGCCTGTCTCTCATATTGGCTGGCTTCTGACTCTCTTCGCTTCGCACCGCACTCCAAATCTGCTCTGGAGGATTCAGGGGATCCTGAAGAATAATTCTGAGAATCTCCATAGATATCCAGGGACAAATGGTGGTAGGACACAGAGGATGTTCAAGAGAAGGGAATACAGAGAATTAGAATTCTGTTTTTGTAAAAAAAGAAAGAGAGAAAAAAGGAAGCGCAAGAATATTTACTGTAAAATTGATAAAATTAAAACACTACAAAAGTATTAGTATGCTAAAATATAATCTGGTGATAAATCAACAGTTGAAAAACATCTTACACAGGACATTCTGTGCCCAATCTGGTCCTTCAAGTCCCCCTCTGACCACTACAGTGTTTTCCTGAAAATGTGACCTACCACAAAAGTAAGTCCTAGCTTGATTTTTACATGTATGCCCAATAAAAGCCCTACCCCCCAAAATAAGCCCTAATTAAGACTCCTCCCACCCCAGGGTGCATGGGTAAAAATTAAGCTAGGGTGGGGATGGGATGGTGGATGCCCTACGACTTGCTTTCAGACAGTTGCAAATAGGCCTCACACACCCCAACACCTGCCTTGTCAGCCCATTTCTTCTGCAGCCAGCAAGACCGGCAATGCTTTCCTGAAGGATCAATCCGGAGTTCTGTTATCAGCTGCAGAGGCCTTCAGGAAATTGAATTGAATTTGAATTTATTATATTTCTATAAGGAAAGGCTTGCAAACCACAGAAGAAGTTCCTGAAGGCCTCTGACAGCAAAAAGGAGGCTGGGGGTGTGCTCGCAAGTGAGATGAGTCAGTGGCAGAGGTGGGTTCCTACCAGTTCGCACCTAGTCGGTAGAACCGGTTCGTCAAATCTACTGAACTGGTTAGAAGAGGTTCCACCAGTGGACCCGGAAAGCAGGCCGCACCTACAGAAGAGGTTCCAAAATTTTTTGAAACCCACCACTGATCAGTGGACAAAAACAATGCCTCCCCCCCTGGAAAATAAGACCTTTTTGGTGGCAAAAAATATAAGACAGGGTCTTATTTTCAGGAAAACACAAGTATATATAGTGGAGCTATGGTGGCATAGTGGTTAGATTGCAGTATTGCAGGCTAATTCTGCTGACTGCCAGCAGTTCGATACTCACCGGCTCAAGGTTGATTCAGCCTTCCGTCCTTTCGAGGTCAGTAAAATGAGGACCCAGATTGTTGAGGGCCATATGTTGATTCTGTAAACTTTTTATAGAGGGCTGTAAAGCACTGTGAAGTATATGTACACTGTGTGTGTATGTAAGTCTAATTGCTACTGTTATAACTGATTAAAAGAATAAGAATGATAAAAAGTTTGATGTAATATAAATTTTAAGTCTATTAGTCATTCAGATCATTGCAGCCCAGATCTGGCATGTGGGGGGGGGGGGGGGGAGCAGTTCCAAATTTAACATTTGGCATCAAAGGAGCCTGGGAATTACTTTAGCATGAATGTGGATACTCCTGTAACTAAACTACAGTCCAGTAACTAAATAAAATACTGTACAGTAATTTGTTTTGCCTTGGAACATGTTCAGGATTTTGAGAATAAGTTATGAGTACCATCACAAGACAGCTGTGGCAGTAGTTCATTTAAAGAACAACAACAACAATGAAAGAGTGGATGAGTAGAGAAACTGGCAATCACCAAGGAAAGTATTGGTGCTCACATCAATTCCAGGTTGTCTATCCATGAGTTAGGCTGTTAATTTTGGAGGTGAGAAACCAAAAGAAACTTGATTAGCTACAAATCTGTAAGGTGGCATATCCATCTCTCCTGTTTGGGAACTCTATTAGTCACATATGATGGCAATCTGGCCTCACATTCCCTGAAGGAAAGATAGAATGGATAATAGTAGGAAAAAGTAGAAAAAGAATTTAATGTAGAAGAGTTTTACTGATGTAATTGCCTATTGGCTTTATTTATTTATCTAACAAATATATGTGCCACCTATTTTGTCCAGAGACAATTCTGGGCAGCTTACGAACTTTAAAACTACTACACATTAAAATAATAAAGGAAAATATAATCACAGTAATAAATACTGTGGGGAGAAGGAGAACTGCACGGGAATAGTCACTCCCAATTTACACCTCTGTTAGTAAATATATAATTAAAACATGGTGCCAAAAATGGCTTCAAATAATAACATGATTCTGGGATGTTTGCACATCCACACTGTTTGGGAAACAAGAGCCATGACCGAAATCGCAATCTATGGATTGTGCTTTGCTGCTACTTTGAAACAGAAATCCCCAACCCTCCTCCCCAAAAAATATTGTCTGCCAGAGCGATATTATCAAATTCTAAAAACACAGTGTGTTTTTACTGCATATGCAAATAATTTTCAAACATGCAAATTAGCTAATTATATCATTTACATAAAACACCCCACATAATCACTGCAACTTGGCAGCTATGAATTAAGTGAAGCTGGCTCCCTCTCTTCCCCCAGCTGTTATTTTTCGTCTCCAGCTCGCCTGCATTCCTTTCATTGCAAACACATGACATACACACACACAACACTGCATCTTTGCAGTCGGCTGAGTCCTTTACCAGAAACTCCTTTTTGGGAAAAGAAATAAATGTTTAGCTCCAAAGTTGAAAGTAATGCCTTGCTCTTGTTTGAGGCCAGATGTAACCTTCTCTTTTTCCTCTTCTTCCACACCCCATCCTTCACCCTTCCCAGCCTCTTGTTTTGTTGATCAGAGTGAGTAGTTGCCAAGATCAAAGGGGCATAAGCACCTCTGCTAAGGTGGCAGGATGCAGAAGGGGCTGCTGATAACACAGTTGTTTAAATAATTGCCCAAGATTTTTGGGGCGAACATGATTAATGATTGGGGAAAGATGATGACCTGATAGCAGAGAGGAGCATGGTATGATTGATGCAGAAAGCTGCATGAGGCCAAGCTTATCCACTGTGCATGGCAAATCATAATTATTGGTTAAAGGGTCTTTATTCTTCATACTTACTAGGAGAAGCTGAATGACAAAATATGTTCTGGGTAACGAAGCTTTCCATGCCGCATCTCAAGCATCAAGTTCTTGCTTTGTAGGAAAAAAAAACTATTAAGACAAAAGAAATAGGACTGCTACCAACATCACTGAGCTTTCTTTTAACGGTTGATGTTTTATTTAATATTTATGATACTTTACATATTTTTTGTGGGGGTGATGGAGAAGAAAAATTGGGCCAAATGACATGCTTCCCTGATTTAACTTCCTTGAGGGTTAACAACTTTTTTTCCCCAGTGAGCACATTTGAAATTTTGCAAGCGTCTTGTGGGCATTCTGACTGCTATGGGTCTTGCCTGTTCACAAAATGGCTGCCTTAGTGGTACCCATAAATATAAATCAATCAATCAGTTAATCAATCAAGTGACACATGTTGCCTGGGAAGCAGCCAGAGAGAGAATTACAGGCACCCTGGATTGGTCTAGAAGTCATCAGTTTGAACCTGGATTAAATATAATCACCAAGGAGCCATAAATTAGATTCTGCAGGCCTAAAGGAAAGCAATCTACTTAGGACAAGAAGTTGCAACATCAGCTTGACTTGAAACTTTTAAACAAATGTAAGGGCTAAATCAGCAGGTACATATCTATTTACTCTTTACCTGTGAACTTTCATTGAGTATATCTGGAGCTGATGGCTTGGCTATCCCAAAGCTACAGAGAAATTTGGCCAATCTTGAAAGAGGATTTCTGCATTTTATAAGGATGCATCCAAATGGAACATGAAATGTGGAAAACATGAGCCAACCTTAAAAATGTCAATGTAAAGACAGCATACTCTATTAATAAGCTTAGAATCAGCTTATTGGGGCCCTTGAAGTCAGATGACTGCATGATAGGCTGTCAGCTTATGAATCCTTACAAAGGAACAAAGTGACAATTATGCCCATCACTACATATATGCCATACTTACATAACCCCAAAAATAAGAGAATCATATTAGAATTAAGCCAGTGAATGTGAATGATTCAGTAGTAGAAAAAATATATAAAATAGCATCGTAAGTTTCAAGAGATATTAAATATAACATCTAGAAATGCATTGTATTATTAATATTTTTGGAATTACTTTACTAATGAGCAATTACTAATACATTTGATATTTGGAATGCAAGTGTTGGGGGGGGGGGAGTAGGAACCTGGAATCAGAAAATACTTAAATTGCATAAATGTAATAATGTAGGATAAAAGTTAACTAAATTTTATAAAGGAAATTCTTTGTCCATTGCTAACACCTTTTTCAGGTGACATAAATGCAAACCCTACTCCAGGATGTCTATGGAGATTCTCAGTCATCAAGGTCATGGTTGTCCCAAAGATTCTTTTGTTTTCAAGAGGCAACTAGACTTTCTTGTTTTTCTTTGAAGACTTTTCGCTTCTCATCCAAGAATTCTTCTTCAGCTCTGACTGAAGGCTCCATACCGATTTACACCACTCAGATGACCCTAATGACATAGCTAAACCTCCAGGTGACCTTAACAACCCACTAAAAGAATGCAAATAACCAGCTGTCTGCAAGGAGTATAAATCCTTCCATTCCCCACTATCAAGTCAGAACTGAAGACGCTTTTTGGATAAGAAGCAAAACATCTTCAAAGTAAAACCAGAAAGTCCAGTTGCTTCTTGGAGGGTGGGGGGAAGCACCTTGGGACCTACTCCAGGATGTCACTGGGTAGACAATATTGGAATCAAATTGACTAAACAAAGGGGAATGGAAAACAAGGAAGTACAATCCAGTCAGCCAGGATATTTCCAGGGGCAGAATATGGAATAAGTCATGAATCATTACTGAACAGTCTATTTGTCATTAGTTTGGAAATTTGAACAGAATAGGTGTGACCTAGAGGAGACACAATCAGGATCAGTGTAAGGGACAGATTCAATGTACTTAACCAAAATGGAAAGTGATAAACTATTGGAAAAATAAGAGAACAAGAGATATTATGAAAACCAAAATGAGAAAACATTCCCAAGACTTTAAAGGGAAGAAAAATCCAATAAGCTTTTAGAACAAGTTATGATGATAGTGAAAGAAAGTTGGATAATGAATGATTTGGGCAACAAAAAAGATACATGATGACTGAATATAGATGCTCAACATCAAGAAAAGAGAGGAAAAGATTCCTCTGTCAACCATGTCAATAAAAAGAGGGCAATACAAGAAAAAGAAAAGCAAAATTTTAAAATCATGGGAAAATTTACAGCCAAGAACAACCCTCAAGAGTAACCATGGAAAAGCTCTAATACAAGCAAAAGCATTTTCAAAAATATGGAAAGCTGTAGAAGAGCCCTGTGTTAATAGGATCACAGCGTGACAGAAAGAACTAGTATTCTGAAGAACTGGCTCTGCTAAAAAGTGAAGAATGAGATGCAACAGACCATCTCTAAATAGGAAAGCATCAGGCTCAGATGAAACACCCGCTGATCTATTTAATCTGCAGAAGTGGCAAAGTGCTAATAGCTCTACGTCAAAAACGAAGAACTAGAATGTACAACCTGGAGATTGGAAAGGATTGTTTTGTGTATATACTTATTCTTGGGAAGGGAGAGATGCAAGTGGTGGTGCAATTTTTCAAATCATTTAACTAATACCTCACACTAGCAAAGACATGTTTGTAGAGAAAATTAGCCAGGCATAGAGAAAGAAATGTCAAATGAGCAGGCAGGTTTCTGAAAAGGTAGAAGGATTCAATTTCAAATAGATAACAAACAGTGAATAATGTGAGAGGAAAAGAATATAAGTTTACCAAGTTTACCTTTGCTTCACTGACTGTCCTTGAAAGATTATTGCCAGGGACAGGTTGAGATGGTGGGCATTTTTCTATCACTGCCAGAAGTCAGATTTGATACAATAGCATCTAAAATATCTTGCTCAGCAGCATTCCTTGGTGTTAGAGCAGCTAAGAGCAGCTACTGTGAGCTTCAGCTCTGCTCTTCCTTGTTTTATTGCCTTTGATAAACAGTGTGTAGATCTACCCCCATTTTGCCAGATTTCATTTTTACTGGCATTTTAATCTCAGCAATATCTGAGCAATTCTGTTTGTGTTCATTGCAGAGTTTATTATTATTGGATTCATGCCCATCAGCACTTACGATGATGGCTCTTTTGTTCTCCCACAGAAAAATTTGTTTTGTTATTTGACCTAATTTTTTTTAAAAAAAGCAAAATTAGAACTGAGAACATTGACAGTAGAGAAGAAAACATAGAAATATTGTAAAGTGAAAATGAGTGCTCCAGAAGTAAAGCGTAATGTTAGCTGTAGAACATGGGAAAAGGACTAATATGAATTCTTATTATGAATGATTTGTGGCTTAATATTTCTTATTATGAATCATAAGGGGCTACAGAAATCTGAGTTATGTAAAGGCCTTGTAACATGTAAAATTTAGAAGAAAAATACATTTGGTCACAAGAATGCTATCAGAATATTCTTTCCAGTGAAGGACAGAATCAAGATATAGGAAATATCCTATTTTCCATAATTTTTCTGAAGGACACAATAGCTAAAATGCATTCTTCCCATCACCCAATGTTTCTAGTTCTGTTCCCTTCCCACAATCTGCTGCGATTTAGCTACTCAAATACAGGTCAAAGTGATTCACACAACTAAATAATGTTTTTAATATATTACTTGCAAATTCATTCTTATCAACAATATGATAGATGTTATTTTAAAGGCAAATATGGATTACTGATACAATTATTAGATCCCCTCCCCCCCCCAAGAGCATGATAGGTAATTGGGTTTTGAGAATTTTCCTTGTAAATAATTCGTATTTGAAACCAGGTTTGGATTGGACAATCTTTCAAACAGAGGACCTGCTCTGTGAAACATTAGAATTATTATTACAAGAAAATTTTTGCTGTGTTCTTTTCATCCTTGATTTTATCTTATCTTTATCTTATCTTCCTGTCAAGAACAGGAATGAGATAGGAAAACTATTGTTTTGGCCTTGAAACATAGCCAAATTACAACTTTCAACAACTTTGGAGATTGTTAGCTGAAGCTCTTGGGAGCTGTAGCACAGCAACTTCTACGATCTCCAGATTTTCTCATGCTTATCAACAATGGAGCTGTAACTATTTTCAACCAAAACAGCTACATGGGATGGGAGCTCTGCACAGTAAAACTCCACAGTTGTGCAGAGGCCTGCGATTTTATTAAGAAGGGTGTGATTTCATCCTGAATTTGAACCTTTTTTTGACAATGTTTAAGACCTGAATGAAAAAGAATGGAGGCAGAGTCTCTTCCACAGATTTATTTTTCCTCAAACCCTTGAAGAAAATTTGGCCTCTCCAGATGGAGTTTCAACGCAGGATCTGCTTTTTGAGTATAAGACAAAGCTGCCATACTTGCCAAAAAAAGGCCTTGACTGCTCATAATATGCTTTAGGGAAAAACAAATCAAAATCCAAAGACTTTATTTTTTTATGACTTTCTACCCTTAAGTACTAGTGGCCCCTGAAGAGAAGTGGGGGGAAATTCCTATCCAAATGCAAGCCTACCTCGGACAGTTGTTTGGCAAAAGAGTGAGGCCTAGTAGGATGGATTTGTTACTATTATTTGTGTTTACTGATATGTGCAGTACTTGTTTTGGTAAACTTGTGCAGCAATTGGTTTTGATGTAATTGGGAATTTGGATTAAATAAATAAATGAAATATATCTGATATAAACAAATTATATGAAATACCCCGTATACATAGAGAGACAGTATAATAATTTTTTTTTGAAAAATAAAACCCTGGAAGTCACGTTCCTGGTTAGAAGTAGATGGTGTTCTTTGTTTTGCTACTATTTTGCAAAAGCCAGAGGTGGCATTTGCATGAAAACATCACAACACCTGTGACATCACCTGCCTCCCTAGACACAATGGTAAAGCTGCTAATCTAGATTGCACCTTCTAATGTGTTTACTGACTTTTGCTCCAAAAGAGCTTCTCCTCCTGAAAAGATGAACACTATAGCAAAAAAGAACTGGCAAATCAATGTGAGTACTTAGCACATTACCTTTGACACATTCAGCTGAGATGCTTCATGTCAAAGAAAATTACCTGTTGACCCTTGACTGAAGTGTGATTCCTATTCTTACCTGGTAGAATATAAAATATAAAATGGTGTGGAAAATCTTATTTAAACAAAACTAGAGACTCATTTCCTATCAAACTCACATCCTATTTATAAACAACAACTGGTTCTGGCATTTTCGTTCAAGAGAATTATTTGAGGGGCTGCCACAGAGAAAAGGAGGTCAACCTACTTTCCAAAGTACCAGAAGGCCAAGCAAGAAACAATGGATAGAAACTAATCAAGGAGAAAAACAAGCTAGAAGTAAGGATAACTTTCCTAACAGAACAAATAACCACTAGAATGACTTGCCTTCAGAAGTTGTGGGTGCTCCATTACTGGAGGTTTTAAGAAGAGACTGGACAGTCAATTGTCTGGAATGGTATAAATATCTACCTCAAGAAGAATATGAGTGGTGTTTTCTGTAGCATACTATACAGTACTAAGAAACATATATATTTTAAAGATCCAAGCAGATAAAATGTGAGAGGCAATTAATCCCAACCTATCAAAGACAGCTTTTAATTTAGCTATTTAGATATGGGCATCATTCAGGATTCTCCTCCAAGATGAACAGTGGGACAGAGGTGTCTGCAGGGAAGAGTTAAAAAAGTGATAGTATGACCATGCAATTGAAGTCCCATCTTCTCTTTTTACCTGCATCACACTTGCAACACATGTCAAAAAGTGTAGGGCTTCATGACATGATCACAGCTGCCATTTTGAGTTTTCTGATCTTCCCACTGCTGGTAAAAATAAAGTGCATTTTCACAATACTATATACTAAGCCTCTGATATCTGGTACATTGGAAATCCCCAACTGGCAAGATAATGCCATATATCCCAACATTTGCCAGATGAAATGGTTTGCGATACCATTATAATCATAGGATGTTTGTTCTAGGTATTAAGGCATTCCTTTCTTGGCTGTCAATTAGCTTTCTCACTATTTTTTTGTGGAAAGAAAAAAGTAGGGAAGCAATGAAAATGCAGGATGATAATAACTCAAAAATGATGCTCGAACCTTTCTCAGAAAAGTTCCATCAACAAACTAAGAAATTGTGCAATAAAAACCTAATTTGGAAATATTCAATAGGTTCATCCATTTTCCTTATAATAAATTTGGCATCAAGAGATGCCCTGGAGCTAAATCCCCAAAATGGTGAGAGAGAAAATGGAAATTGTTGTAAGCAAATATCCCCAAATGTTATTGATTCCTAAAACCAAAGACTTTATTATCCAGCAGAGGTGGCAAGTATAGCTTATGTACAGCTTACTTGGACTTAGCTATTCATCACAGAATACTTTAGGGAGTTACATTTCCTAGGATACAGACATGGACAATGAGAAAACTTAACGGCCGCAGAAAATGAGCTGAGTGAACTTCTTAACATTTTGCACATGTGCAAATACTGACATGAGCTCTGAGGCAGATGGTTTGATAACTGTGGCCTGAATATTTGAGCAGTCTGCAGAATGTCCATCTTAACGCAGCAACACGAGGTCAACATGACAGGATAAATCATCTGTTGCAAAAGAGATGCCATGATTTTAACTTCACTACTTATCTGTCAAGCTACTTTATAACATTTGTTGCTCAGCACAGAGGCACATTATTCTTCCAGCCTGCGTGGCTATTAATAACTAAAGCATTAATATTTTGGAGGTTCATCTCATAATAGAGGGGGGAAATTATTCTTTAAGTTCTTACATCTAAGACCATCAGTTATCGTGAACAGGTAAAGATAAATGTGATGCATTTTCAGAGATATTTCACTGTCCCTTCCCCTCCCAAGGAATTAAAATACAGGTAGTCCTTAATGGGTTGTTAAGTGAGAAATTTGCCCCCCACTTGTCTCAGTTGTTTAGTGAATCACTGAAGTTGATAAGTTAGTAACCTGTTGTTACTTGAACCTGCTTCTCTATTGACTTTGGTTGTTGGAAGGTCCAAAAGGGGTCACATGACCTTGGGACGCAGCAACTGTCATAAATATGAACCAGTTATCATCTGAATTTTGATCACATGATGATGGGGATGCTGCAAAGGTCATAAGTGTGAAAAACAGTCATAAGTCACTTTTTTCAGAACCCTTGTAGCTTGTAGTACAGGTTGTAGGTGTGAACCCTAAAGTGGCTATATTGCCATTCAGGAATATATTCAGGAATGGCAACAACTTCCAAGCACTTGCACCCTCTCCTCAATGGTTGCATTCTGGTTAAAATTTCTTTGAACTTAAATAGGTCAGGGTTTTTTTTTTTTCCCTGCTAAGGAAAAAAAAAAGCAGCAGCGCCTGAAGATCACTTTGAAACCTGGACCTAATAAATTGAGGCGCGCCTTCTCGTGCTTGACGTGAGGAGGCGCTTCGCTTTCTCTAATTCCACGCGACGCTGGCGAGCCGGCAGCCGGTTTTGCTTGAGCGACCCTTTTGGCCGATTCCCTGAAGTCTCGTCCTGACTCCTGAGGATTCTGAAGCCCAGAGCCACCGACTTTCCCGCGCCCTCTTCAGCGGAAGGCTGCACGTTTCGGTGGCAAATTCCATCGGATTCGCACCAGAATTGAGGGCAGAACTCCATCGGCTCCAGCTCCTCAGGCTGCCTGCCTCGCGCCTTTGAAATAGTACAGCGGCGCCCTCCAGTGGCCAAGTCCGGTTACCGCAACACGCTTCCTGTCCCGGATAGAAAAATCCCGACGTCTCCTCGCGGATTGCCCCTAAAACGCTCGGTTCCTCCTGGGCGGGTCTTCGGAGTTCGCAAAGACAAAGGCCGGTCCAAGGGCACCTCTGCGGTAAACAGGAGCAAAAAATCCCTGAATTGCACGCGCGCCCTT